AGTTCCTTAGGTTTTGCGCCAATAAATCTTGAAAGAATGACTTAAGCCATGTTGAGTAGAAGCTGGGAAATGAATACTATCTTCCAACAGGTTTGCCAGCTAGTGATCTTTAACTTTGTTTCACAAAGATGCTTTATCAAGAATAACTCTTGTTTTCCCAGTCCTAAATAATCACAATGAAGTAAGGGAGTCGACAGACCTCCACAGCATTTCTACATAAAACATTGTAAGCACAAACGCATGTTCCATTTAGCTTCAAATAACTTGTTACAATTTAAGCCATAGCATACTTAGAAAATAACATACCTTAACTTGATTTAGTAAGGAACCTGAATAACTTTTTCCACCGTTTCCAAGAGTGGAAAGTTTGCTGTTGCTGAATTGCAAGTATCATTTCCTAAACATCTCTCCTCTTAAAGAGATACCAACAGGTGTATATAATTATGTCATTAGAAACTGAGTACCACTACACTGTAACAAACTTACAGATGAAGTTCCTGTATTTTAATATAATTTGCTTAACTATCCTATATGTATTAATACTTCCCATGATGTATGTTATTCATCCATATTAGAAAGCCCTCAAAGCTAGTTTTATTGTTTACTATGACTACCAAATCGTCAATGTACCTTTTATAGAAAGAAATATTTGCAAAATAAGGACTGACTGTTGCATTAAGAATATAGTTCTCTTCTAATTCATGACTAAACAAGCTATGGTGGGAGCTGCTAGATTACCCATTGCCATACCATGTTGCTGAATATGACTGGTGGACAGAGAAAAAAGGTGTCACCTGGGCTGATCAACATGGAACAGACTGGCAGGTCATCTGGGAGGATATGATATTTTCTTGGTGAGAGTATTTAAGAATAACATTGTTACTCCCTTAATCAAAACGATTGGGCCAAAATCAGTATCAAAATCTAATTATACCCATCAGAGCATTATACAGGACTAGGAAAAAGGCCCGTTGTGGAAATAAATACAATGGCCTCTAGAAAGAGGCTCTGGGTGGGTGCCCCGGCCTTGGACACTCAGTGTCAATTTGCTGTGATGACCTCAGCAGGGTATAATGACACTGAGTCCACCATTTTCTCCAGAGGAACTGATCTCTGCTACCTAAAGAACAGTTGTAATTTTGAGTGATCTCCAGCCCTCACCTGGAGATTGGCAACGATGGTTCCCCAGAAGGGAATGGTTGGTTTGGAGGGTGGAGTCTATGGCTTTGTACCTGTCCGAGGTCCCACGCCTCCTGAAACCTCACCCTCTCCAGGCTCCATCCCTCACATCTCCAGGAATTTCCCACCTGGAGTTGGCAACCCTATCTTCTTCCTAGCCAATCATCAACCTACCTTTATTTCCCCCTCACTCTTCAGCTTTCCACCCCACACACACACCTGCAGCCTCTCCTGTGCTCTGAAGCCCTGACTGCTATGTCACATTGGCTGTCATACGGGGCCCACCTCAGCAGCATATAAGGATACAGAGCCTACCATTTTCTCCAGGGGAACTGATCTCTGCCATCTGGAAAGCAGTTGTAATTCTGAGTGATCTCCAGCCGTCACCTGGAGATTGGACACATTTTACCTCAGAACAGCAAAACTGTTTAGAATGTTAGAGGCAAAAGCCAATCAAGTTGCATATGCAAACGACCTCTGTGTTCCAGGCAGAGGCCAATGAGGCTGCATATGCAAATAACCTCTGTGTTCTGACTGGCTGTGGGGGGGGAGGATTAGCAAAATGTTTAGAATGTTGGAGGCAGGACTCAGGCAAAGCAGCCAATGAATAGGGAGACCCTCTGAATGACAGATCAGAGAGCGAACTGATTTTGGAGCGTGTGGAATGTTCTAGAGAAGTGCCACCACCGTTCGGCTGTTATTTATAAGGGAGATGGTGCTGCTCTACATTTAGATGCCAATTTTCTGATTCTGACTTTCATAGAAAGGGAAACAATAATGCAAGGGGGCCAAATGTTTCACATGAGTTTGTAGATCTAGATTTCCAGATTATAGAGGATTTAAGAGAAACAGCTAATGTTGAAACAGACAATTTAACTGAACTCAAGACCAAACCCCCTGGTGAGTTTGTTCTGGTAGGAGGAATTCTAAATAAGAAGAAAATCCCATCTAGAATGTCCGGGGAAAGTGGGTTGCAATATTTGGATTAAGAAGGGGTAGAACAAGTAGAAGAGAGTCCACTGTCTGACACCAAATTACAATATAACATCGAAGGAAAAAGAAGCATACCTTGGAGAACAGTATAATAATACTGAATAAGTCAGCTGATGAGATAACAGCAGACAGTAATTTATGAGATAGTGCCACGTTCCCAGCCTCATAACATTTTATCTTGGAACATCACAGGCTGGGTTGGGAATGGAATAAATCACAGCACGAAGTCCTTGATTTTTTATCCTCAACCCATATATTACTTCTGCAAGAGACCTGGGTTAAGGGGTTTTCTTTTGAAGCTGAGGGCTTTCATTCACTCTGTCTTCCTGCTGTGGGTACTATGGGATGGGCTAGGGCTGCCTTAACCTACCTGGTCACTGAATCCCTGGATTTAAAAATAACTCAGATTGAACTCATAGGGATCAATGCTATGGCTCTATATTTGGAAGCTTTTCCCTCTGATATGGTAATTATAAATGCTTATTTTCCTCCCAGTTTAACTTCTGGTGATTTGGATGAAGTATGGTTCGGTTTTGATATATATCTGGAATATGTGAGGAATAATTATCCTTTGGCCCCCATATTATTGGCTGGGAATTTTAATGCCCAATTAGGAGCTAGTGATAAGCAATTGTTTAAAATAAATAATACTTCTACATTGTTAAATCAAGGTCAACGGTAATAATATAGTTGATGGCCCTGCAGATTTTACATTTGTTTCTGAAAATGGTTCTAGTGTGATAGTTATAGTGTTGGTTTAGTTGGATTTATTAAGGATCACTATAGAAAGAAGCCCTGGGGCCCATACCTGTGAGGGGGACAATAGAGGCTGGGAGTGGTGGCTGGGAGGCAGAGAGGAATGCATTCAAAGGCCAAGCGAGCTGGGAAGATTGGCAGCCCTGCTGTGTAGTCCCTGTGCTCAGAGGCTTCCCCACCCTGCAGTCCCTGCACTCAGAGGCAGCTCAAACTCAGAAGGGTGAGTATGGGCAGGGCAGGAGTGGAGGGGGAAGAGAACAGAGCCCCACGCACAGGCCAGACTAAAGCCCTGGGCAGGCTGGTTCTGGCCCGCAGGCTTAGGTTTGACACCCCTGTTTTAAAGTATAGTAACCTGTTGTTAGTTACCATTATCCTGTTATTTTGGCAGTATTGCTTGGTTCCTGGCTATAGAAGCTCACATCTTGAACCTTATTGCTGGTTTAAAGGCAGGCAAGGGAGCAGGGCCCGATTGGATACCACTTGACTTAATCAAGGATTTTGCCAATACTGACATACTTGTTTCAGACCTTTAATTAGGTACTGTCCATGAGGTCAACTTTTTCATCCTTTGTCTTGTGATGTCGACATTTGCTGTTATCACTGGTCTTTTGAATCTTGGCTTTCATACTATTCATTTTGAGTGCCTGCTCTTATTCAGTTTGAACAAGTCCTTCCATTTTGGAGCCACTTCCAGGTATTTTCAGTTTCAACTTTATTCTCAGATATTGCCCATGCAATCGCTTTTCCTTCCAGTTTTGCAAGTGAGTTTTTGATTTCAGTCTTTTTGTAATCTTAAATAAGTCTGCCTAGTACACTTCAACTAAAAGCTTCCGTTTGATTTTCTTGCTGTAGTCATTCAATGCTCGATTTTCTTCTTCAATTGCTTGCTTAACTTTCAAGATACCCTTTCCCCCTAATTTTCTTGGTCAGTAAAGATGATCAACTTGACTTCTAGGGTGTAGTGAGTGATGCATTGTCATTATCTTGTGAGTTTTGCAATCTATTGCTTCTAATTCTCCTTGTTTCCAATTGATAATGCCAGCTGCTAATCTTAGAAGGGGAACTGCCAACATGTTAATTGCCTTTACCATGTTGCCTCCATTTAATTTTGTTCGCAATATCTTTTTAATTCTTTGGTAATATTCCGTAGTGGTGGTGATTACATTTTTATATTTTAAATTTTTATGTTACATTTTATGTTTATTTCACCCTTCCTTCAGGAAGCTTAGAGAAATGTATATGTTTGTCCCTTGCCCATTTTATGCCCTCAACAACCTTTTGAGGGTGGTTAGGCTGGGAGGCCCAAGGTAACCAGTATGCTTTGTGACAGAGTACAGCTTTGAACCCAGGACTGGGGTGGGTAGGTGTTCAATATATACCAAGCTGAATAAATACCTGAATAATACCTTATTGGTATTTTGGGGTATTTAGTCAGCCAAATCAGATTTTCTAATCTGATTCATCTACCGATCTATCTGAGCCCGAATAAAAACTGATATTATTCAACTTTTATTCGGCTTGTCTAGTAACCTTTCCTGAAATGGCATGATGATCTGTCTTGTTGGTATCTTTTATGTGGGTATTTGTAATTTTATTTCAAAGGCAGGTGTAGTTTAGGGAATTCTTGTTCTTTTCTTTTTTAACCAGTTTGATTTAAGGGTGTGTTTTCTTCTTTGTGACTCTGTTTTTCTGCTTTGTTTTGTTGCTGTTCTTTTATTGTTTTTTTTTAAAAAGAGGCTTCTGTTCTTCTGCCTGGTTTTTGCATTTCACTCTGACATTATAGAAAGCAACACCTATAAAGTTGTGAGTCATCATGTGTAAAATTGAACCCAGGCAGAAAGCTATTGGGTCCAAATCGAAACAAAAAAAACCCCGCTATCTCACAGCAGAAAACCTACTCAGGATGGCGACTATAAAGTGTGACTATAAAAAACCCCACTATCTCACAGCAGGATGTTATGAGCAACATAGTTGCCAGGAATTAATTTTTAAGTTTTAAAATATAAGGAAGCATCAGCTAGTACCACCTTGAGGACTTCAGTTACTAATTTTGTAATCTTGCATCATTACAGGTGAACTATGGGAAGGTGTGCAATGACAGTAGAAAAGGACTCAAATTCGCCGTCTCTCATGGCTGCAGTCCAGAATTTGTGTTTGTGCCATACAGTAACACTATCGCCATTTATACCATTTACTCGGGAGACCTAATAACTACGCTTAGGGGCCATTATAATTCTGTCGACTGCTGTGTCTTTCAGCCTCATTTTCAGGTAAGTGGAACTCCTTGGTGTGATAGTAAACAATTCAGAGAGACTACTTGTGCCTAAAATAATGAGCTATTATATGTTTGTGCTTCATAAAAGGATGGTAAGAAACATAATGTACTGTGGGTAATTGAAGCTCTGCTGGATTAGAGATGCCATACACAGTGTTGACCTTATTTCACAGACTTTTCTATTAGTTTTTAATCCAAGAGTTAACTTGTGGTTCAGTCCGTAGAATATAATGTAATGTAAGCAGAGCCTGCTGGAACAGACCAGTGATTCATCTAGTCGAGTGTACTGTTTCACATAGTGGCCAACCAGTTGACCTGGAGGGCCAACAGACAGGGCATAGAGGTCGAGGCCTTACCCATAAGCTACCTCCTAGCAGTGGTGTTCAGTGGTTAGGTGGACAAGTTTCCCTTTAGTCACCATGGCTAGTGGTCGCTGATTGACCTCTCATCCATGAATCTGTCTAACCCCCTTTTTAAACCACTTGTTGCATAGTCTAGCATTCTGTCTCCAACAGTGGCCAGCCCCTAAGAAGCTAACAAGCAGAGCATAACAGCGCCTTTCACTGTTGATTGTTCTAAGCATCTATTAATTGAAAGGTTTGCTGCTTCTGTTCATTCAGTTATCATTCTAGCAGCTCCTTGATGGCTTTTTCCTCCATGAAACTCTTCCATCCTTCCGAAAAGATATGAACTTATATGGGGGGGAGGGGAGGGGAGGTATTGTACACTGAATTGGACCACTGGTCCATCCAGTCCATGATGTCTGTTCAGGTAGTGGCAGCTCTCTTCAAGTTTTCAAGTTTTTCCAGCTCTTCTACTCTTGTTAACTGGAGCAGTGTGTGCATGATGTTGAAATAAAAGTACATGTTTATTTGTATGCTGAGCTTTGAAGCTGTAAAGTGGTGGTGCTGTCAAGCTTGTTGCTTTGTAATATTGCTTGAGATTTAAAGCATGTTTAAATGTGCTGACTGACCACTTTTTGTAACTGAGTGTCTTTCCTCTCCCACCCACCCACCCACCCAGGGGCAGGGCTGCTTATTTTATTTTGTGAGGAGTTGTTTTATATGCTTTAAGTTGTTGCGTAACATGCTTTGAGGGTCCTTTTTTGTTGCATGGAAAGAAAGGATAGAAATATTTGTGATACATAAAATGTAGAATGCCTGCAAAAGCTTTTATGCTGCCCTGCATGATTGTTTGGCAGACACCACAGATTGTGGTTGTGTTTCACATAGATTGTGGTTGTGAATTCTGACTTTGCTTGATTTGAAATTCAGTCTTTCGGAAGGGGTTTTATGTGGTTGGGGTTTCAGTATGTATGTGAAATATCTGTTAGCTTCATTCTCAAAAAACATGTCCAAAGCAGCTTCAGCGACAGAGGAATCTCCCTGGGATGTGAGTTCCCAAGGCTTTGGAGCTATGGCCAAGAAGGCCTTTTCTTGGGTTGCCACCTGTCCAGCCTCAGATGATGAGGCCACCCAAAGCAGGACCTCCGAAGAATACCGGAGTTATTGCATAGGTTCCTATGAGAGTAGGCAGTCCTTAATGTACACCTAAGGATCCTTGCAATATACAAGCCCCCTATCTCTTTTTATACACATGCACACAGAGTCCATTGTCATAATGGAGATTTTGCTAATTAACATAAAAAGCAATTACTCCCCAACCATTCCTCCAGATCCTTTCAATGAAGACCACTAATTACACATAATAATTACGGAGGCCATTAGATACCACTCCAGAGGTGCTCTGTCCCTATTAACAAGTCTGGCTCGTCATCCAAGACCACACTGTGCCTTTGGGTTTTTTCTGGATAACTGCTATCATTTTTGTAACCATTTGAAGCTTCCACCGCCCCTGTTAGAAACAGCAGCATTAAGATGATGAAGAATTTTTTACATGCACTGAAAGAGAGGTTGTCCTCAAAGCTCCCTGTGAGGGAGATGGGTAGTGTGGAGTATAACTGGAAAAGCCATTTGGTCCAAACAATGGAATTTATGGAAGTGATGCCACCAGATCAAATTTCCATTTTCTGACTCTGGAGAGGACTGCTTTGAATTACCTTGTTCGTGAAACACAATTGGGCTATTTATAAAGAAAAAAATACATGTTGCTTTTTCAGAGAATTGGCAGGTTAACAAGACCCTATAAATCAGTGAATGGCAAACTGTATATTTGTTAGTTGTGTAGATGAGGAACGGATACAAGTCTCAAAAATAAATAAATAAAATAATGGAGATTTTGCTAATTAACATCAAAAGCAATTACTCCCCAACCATTCCTCGAGATCCTTTCAATGAAGACCACTGATTACACATAATAATTATGGAGGCCATTAGATACCACTCCAGAGGTGCTCTGTCCCTATTAACAAGTCTGGCTCGTCATCCAAGACCACACTGTGCCTTTGGGTTTTTTCTGGATAACTGCTATCATTTTTGTAACCATTTGAAGCTTCCACCGCCCCTGTTAGAAACAGCAGCATTAAGATGATGAAGAATTTTTTACATGCACTGAAAGAGAGGTTGTCCTCAAAGCTCCCTGTGAGGGAGATGGGTAGTGTGGAGTATAACTGGAAAAGCCATTTGGTCCAAACAATGGAATTTATGGAAGTGTTGGAACTGCATGATGCCACCAGATCAAATTTCAATTTTCTGACTCTGGAGAGGACTGTTTTGAATTACCTTGTTTGTGAAACACAATTGGGCTATTTATAAAGAAAAAAATACATTTTGCTTTTTTAGAGAATTGGCAGGTTAACAAGACCCTATAAATCAGTGAATGGCAAACTGTATATTTGTTAGTTGTATAGATGAGGAACCTGGAGCAGGTGCAATTTTTGTCACTCTTTCACTACTGTGACACTGGTGGTTACTATGGTCACTGTGATAGTGGCACGACACCTGCTAGGAAATAGTCCAGTCCAGCAATTAAACACTTGGGGCCCTAATGTTGAACAGCTTCTGCTTTTCTCATGTGAGCTCTGACAAACTGTAGTATATGGAATAAGTTTTCCATTTGTACAATTGAAAAATCAGTGCATGCCATGTCTTGGTTTAATTAGGCTCCACAGGAATTATTTTTAAATCATGATGTGAAAAGGGGCAGTGTTGCTATAGCTGTAGGGCTCCATTTAGAACTGAAAGCTGACTTGTTATGAAAATCCTTTTCTTGGAGGTGTCTTGTCCTAACACTTCTGTAACAGAGTGTTAACCTTAACATATAGATATCTGAGTCTTTCAGATCTGCCATAGCTGATGTAGTAAAACTGTGGTTTGACAATAGCCATTGATACAGGATCTTGTCTTGCCAAGAAGTTCTGCCCCTTTTCATTAAAGACTCCTTACATTAAATTTCCATAAAACATTTGCATTGATTGTGTGTTGTGGGTCAGCCAGGGCTCAACGATAGTGAGGACTCCTCAGGAGAAGAGGAGCCCTGTGTAGCCAGCTCTGAATCATCAGAAGCTAGCAACCAGGAAGATGAGCTGCGGGCTTCTCAGGGTTCACATCCAACAGCTGGTGCAGAGCCACCAATACCCTCCAACGCCCATTCAACAGGTGAAGCCCATTTGGTCATTTCCAGCCATCCAGTATCACCCACACCCTTAGAGTACTGCAGATGGAGGCTAAGAATAGAGCTACAGGAGAGATGACAAAGTGCACACCTCCTGGCCTGATGCCAGCTGCTTGCTGATAGCAAAGATGAGTAGCTGCAAGATTACCTTGAGCAGCTGGCTGCAAGCATGACCCTTCAGCATATGGCTATCAAATCCAGCCAAGGGAGGCTGTTAGGCATGGAAGCAACAAGTCGAAATCCCTCTGACTGTGACCACTGCATCAGATCCTGCCTTGTTCCTGTGACTCTTTGGTCCATTCCCTGACACTTGCCTTCATCTCACCTGTGAACCTGCTTGTAGATAACTCTTGGGCTTCCAGACTTTGCTGTACAAAGTGACCCTCAGACCAGACAACTGACAACTCTTCACTCTGTGCTTTGACCTTGGACTGAACTTTGACTATGCTGTTTGAGTTGGTGCCCTTGCCTTACTCATTCCATGCTCTGATGGCATGGCCCACAGTACCCCCGGCACGGCTTCTGACACTGTGTTTGTTTCCGAACCATGCTAGTGTCCCTGTTGGTTACACCAAGGTGCAACCAGTGCCAAAGAACAACTCAGCAAACAGCCCATTCAGCAACTTTAAAAGGGGATTAGACAAATTCATAAAGGAGAGATCTGTCAGCAGCCACTAGTTATGGTGTAGTGGTTAAGTGCGCGGACTCTAATCTGGGAGAACCGGGTTTGATTCCCCACTCCTCCACTCGCAGCTGCTGGATGACCTTGGGCAAGCCATAGTTCTGTCAGAGGTGTTCTTGAAAAGAGAAGTTTCTGTCAGAGCTCTCTCAGCCCCACCTACCTCACAGGGTGTCTGTTGTGGGGAGGGGAAGGGAAAGGAGTTTGTAAGCCACTCTGAGACTCCGAGTTGAAGGGTGGGGTATAAATCCAAACTCCTCCTCCTCCTCTTCTTCTTGGAACCTCCACATTCAGAGGCCGTAAACCTCTGAATCCCAGTGCCAGGAGGCAACATGGCGGAAGGCCTCGGCCTCTGTGCCTCCAGAGCAACTGGTTGGTAATTGTGTGAGACAGGATGCTGGACCAGATGGACCATTGGTCTGATCGAGCAGGGCTGTTCTTATGGTCTTAATTCCTTTTGATCTTGATGAAGATAACTACCACACACACAAACAAACCTTTATTGGCATTGAGAGCACAAAACATTATGGGAATACAGCAAATTACCAAGAAACATAAATCACTTACACTTTGGCTATTCAAACCCCATCTTCTAATTGCATAATCTAAAAATTTTGCAACAGCCTCCATTGTTTCACAATTAAAATTAAACAGAAGAAAAGTGAATAATTTAATCATCAGAATGCCAGTTCTTACTATCTAAAAGTGGAGTAATAAAACAAGATTTACTATCCCTATAAAAGGGACAATAAAGTATGGTGTGTGTAGTAGATTCTATATCTTTTAGAAAACAAGGACAGTCTGTCTACATATGGTATCTGGCGGTACCTCCCTAAAAGCACCTCCGATGGCAGAACATTAAAGCGTGCAGGCATGTATGCTCTGCGATGGTGTGGGACTGTTAGACATAAGAGATATTTCACAATAGAGCCCCTGTAAGAGGTCCCCAACCTACTTGAATGATTGAAGCATTTAAAAAAATCATTACCCCGGCCGTGTTTCATTCTGGTGGCCCCGTTCGGTCTCCATTTCTCAGTTTTTATCTTTTGATGCTCAACACATTTAAAAAAAATTCTGAGAGAATTTATCTTTTTGTTGTTTTTGTGTCCAGAATTTCCAACTTTTTAGCAAGCCTAATGTTTTCAACTTACTTATCACCATATTTACCCCTTCCAAATTACTTTTCAAATTACTCTTCACTATATTTAACCCTTCCTCTAATTTTCTGTTTCTGATAGTATTTTACCTTCCTAGTTCACTGTTTACTTATCAGGTTATATTTTCTCATGGTAAGGTTTCAGATTTTCTCTCCTCTTGCAAAAGTCAACTGCTTTCCTCATATTTAGCAAACTCTGCTTAAAAGAATGTGTTTTATTCCATCCATAGGAAAAGGAGAAGGAGAACTAGCTACTACTTAGTCAAAAATTAATTCAACAGTTAATTTAGTAGTAAGACTATGCATCCTTTATCGCTAGCTTGAAAACTATTCAGTCCATTGTCACCAATACCATTCATTCTTTAATGTCCGGTACCAAATTCATTCTGTATCTTGAGACGTCCTTGTTTCTTCAAAGCGCAATCCTAATATTTTCTTTTTACGTTCTGTTACTAACACAGCAGATCCAAAACAACTTTAAAAATAAGCAGATCTGTCCTGAACTTTCAGCTCCACCAATTGATGAACAGTTTGATGTTGGTATTGGCTTGAATCCTGTGAACAAGTTCTATATACCCTTTGCCACAGAGTGTGTATCCTCTTACACTCATTTCTACAAGGCTCACTGAAAACCATTGATCTTGTGCAAATGGGAATAATAGTGTAAGAGGAAGTGTGTGCCATAGCAGAGAACGTCTAGGTCTCATGGAACTTGTTCATAGGATCCAAGCCTATATCAGTTAAAAGTTGTAGACATTAAAATAGGATGTGGCAATGACTGAATTTAGTTGATAACAGCGTTTTGTTTTTTAGTTTTTTAAATCCAGACACAGCATATCTTTATTTTTGAATTACACATTGGTACACATTCCATTGCAAATTAGAAACTGAGGCCATAATTATAGACAATTTATATACAGGCACAAGGTTCTTTCTTTGTATTCAGCTTCAGGGCAGGTAGGATGGTTTTATGTAGCAATGTTGCTGAAACGCGTATTTGTACAGTTCGGAATAGAATTTGGCTTGTTTATTGTTGCATCCATCCTACACATCTTTTTTTCTCTGATGTTTCTTCTGTGGTGTAGACGGTAATCCGTGCCAGGGAAAATTGCTCCCACTCCCACACTCTTACTTCACTGTTGCAGCTGCTCTTCTTCCACCCTGACACATTGAATGCTGCCATGGTATCAAACACCATAGCAAAACAGAGTTACTCAGGGTGCAGTGCCCTGGTGTAACTATATTTACTGGCATGTGCAATAGCAGGAGAGGTTCCCTTCTCCACTGTCACAGCCACTGTTCCATTAAGTTTGGGGCTATGAAAGGAGGGGACAGGGCTTCTGGGGGTGAAGCAGGGTATTAGGAACTCCATCATGTTCCCATTAGGAGCAGAAGGGGGCTTCCAAACTGGAACTGTATTTTTAAAAGTTCCAATTTGGGGATGGAAATATAGTTTGATGAGCCAAATCCTAAAACTTACCCAGGGGTAGTTTGTCCATCGCTAGTTTGATGTAGTTTATATGAATCAAGCTGCTGAACTTTGGATCCCATCTGACTTGCTAGCAGTTTAATCCCCACTGAAGTTACTGGGTGCATGAGGCAGGAGCAAGAAGCGGGTAATGAATGTTTTATCTCCTTCTTATAGATCTTTATCATGAGCTTGCCTCCGTCAGTATTTAATAACCATTCTGTGGCTTATTCTCCTTAATGGCAGGAACTTTACAGTAGTGGCAGAGATAGCAATATCCTTGTCTGGGTGCCATCTGTGAGAGAACCAGAGCCCGATGATGCCTCTGAAAAGGTAAAACCGTTTGTCACTGGCATTGGAGCACATACTGACAGGAATAACTTTTGTTCAAGTGTAAAGATGCAGTGGCCATTGTTCAGCCATTGTAGAAAAGTCTTCCTGGGACAGCAGGGGGAATAGTCCAGTTTGTCACTACATAAACAACCTGACCATGGCATGAAGACAGAGTTTGTGCTGCTCTGAGTGCAGGACTCTTCATATTTCCCTTCATCAGATGTGGCAGACCCGCTTATGGGATCTCTTCATCCTTGGTAAGATTACAGATAACGTCTCTGTGCCCCGGTCAGACAAGCACCAAGAAAAACTCATAGCGATGCAGTTCCCTGTAGTAGATTATCTCATGGAAAATGAGATCATTCCTAATAACCCCTATTATAGAGATCTGATTTACTTTTGATAACAGTTGGATATTGACTTATATAAAACTTGTTGTTTCTTGAAAATGATATAGCCATCTTAACTGATGTTAAGATGAAATACTTTGTATTTCGTACCATTGTTTACAATTTTTGGTTAATTAACGCTATATTGTTAAAACAAAAAAACTAAAAAATAAATAATGAAAAAATATTGTGCTGTATCATAAGACCATAAGAACCAGTTCAGGCAATCCTAATACTCACCACTTTGGGATCAGGAAGCAATGTTTCTCTCCACACCAGTTTGGCTGGAGATCCTGGAGGTTTTTTGTCATCTTCTGGGCATGGAACAGCAGTCACTGGAGGTGTGGAGGGGGCGGTATTTGTGAATTTCCTGCATTGTGCAGGGGGTTGGACTAGACAGCCCTGGAGGTCCCTTCCAACTCTATGATTCTATGGTGTAGTCCTAGGGATTGGGATAGTATGCACTGTCTACCAGCCACCATATGCACATAGTCATGGGAGACCCTAAGTATAGCCAAGCCTACTGTTGGTGGTCTCCTTCCCTCTGTTCAGCCTTAACATGTCAGGCCATGTAAAGACTTTTGAAAGCTTACTTGCAGTGTTGAACATACAGTGAAGGCTTTGTTATCTGGCACTCAATGGGAAATGGGGGGTCGCCAGCAATGTTCCCTCTAAGCTGTGGAGTCTTGTGAGCAAACTTTATGAGCTACTGGCATTAAAGTTGTGAGCGAGCGATTTGGGTACGGCATAAATTAGTTTGCTCTAAAGCCATCCTTCCTGAGCTAAGACAAAAATGTGTGAGCCGGAGGCTAAAAAATTGTGAGCTAGCTCACACTAACTCAACTTAGAGGGAACACTGGTCGCCAGTTAATCAGATGGGCCCAGATACTCATGGTTATTGGTCCATCTGTGCTGGCTCCCAATTTTTTCTGTGCCAAATTCAAGGTGCTAGTGCTGACCTTCAAAGCCCTACGTAGTTTGGAGCCAGCATACATTAAGGACTGCCTGTTCCCAACTGCTAGAGTCATCCTTTGAGGCCCTGCTTTGGGTGCCCCTGTCTAAGGTTAGACGGGTGGCAACCCAAGACAGAACCTTCACAGTCATGGCACAAAAACTGTGGAACTTCTTTCCCTTCTTTTGCTGTTTTCTACCAGCTGGTAAAGACTTTTTTGTTTGTTTCATCTGGCATTCCCTCAGTTTCCCTTTGTTTCATCTGGCATTCCTTCCTGCCCTATGTTTTAATTGCTAGGTCTGTGTTTTTGAATACGCATTTACTTTTGGTTTTAAAATGGTTTTATGGTTGTTTTGTAATGTTCTACTTTTAGTTGCTTTGGTGGCCTTGATTGAGGAGAAAGGTGGAATAGAAATTCTGTAAATAACAAATATTACTCTGCCCCCCAGAAGAATCCATAGTAACCAAAAAAAACCAGAATGCTATGGCAACAGCCCCTACAACTGGCAGAACCTTTCCCTTGGAGCTATCTTATACAGCAGGCAGATGAGACAGCCAGCTTCCTGGGACCTCTCTGGCCGAGCTGGCATATGACAGCTCAAGGCAGTTTGAGGGGGAAAGTGGCATCTGATGTCATCTGGCAGTGCTGGCCGTCAGAAGCCCAGCAGTGGATGGAGGCATCGAGCTGGTTGGCTGGCAAGGAGTAGGACATGCGTGTTGCCCAAAGACACAGAGGCATGGTGGCTGAGGGAGAGGAGCTTACCTTCTGGAAAATGCCAGTTAACTGAGCATTCTGGTTAATCAGGTGCCCGATAAAGCAGCTTTTACTATACTTCAGAAATCATACCATTTTTAGCAGTGGGGAACAAGCCAATTGATGGAAGGGTAATGGCCAGTTGAAGAGTTCTTGGGGTGGGGGTGGAGACAGGACCTGAATGGGTGACAAACTGAGTGGGCAGTTTCTGTGGAGATGAGCAAAGGCTTAGGGAAGCAAATGGCAGCTGAGGGGATGCTGAGAAGAAGAAGGAGAGAGAAGGGGACAGAGGAAAGCAGGCTGAGAAGAAAAGGAGGTGTTTATGGAAGTGGGAAGACCAGTGTGGAGAGGACAGGACCTCAGCCACTGTGTGAAGGCTGGTGCTGGAGAAAGGTGTTTTGAGTTCAGGCTGTCATCCAAAAATGAGAAAAACAGCCAGGCATCCAGAGAGAAAGAAAGCTACCATGGTGCTAGTCAGAACCTGGACTCGTCTCTCCTTGTGTAAAAAATGTGACAGAGGGTGTATGGAAAGAGTGGGACAGATGTTAAGAGCCAGTTATTTTTTTTCTGTAGAGGGAGGGTCTGTTTACAGAGGTTAACTTAATTAACAGCAAGTTACAGAGGAAATAATAGTGTGTGTAGTCTATGAGATAAACTCTTCTAACAGAATTCATCTTGGTTTACACAACCTTTGATCCTCTGTTGGGTACTAAAGTCTCACACAGTTAAGGTTTATACGTACACATGCACACAGAGGGAGGAAATTCCAGAACCAGATCAGTACACCTGGCGAGAAGTTTCATAGAAGGCTTTGGTAAGGTGTTTATATGCATAAGCAGTCCTTGGCCATGAGCATGTCCTTATTTGTATGACGAGAGACATAAACAAAAAAGATACATTACCCGCACTCTCAATTTAAAACACAACCAAAAAATAAATAAATCCGTACTATTATGATCTAGCAAGATAGCAGCCCCAGTATACAAAGGTTACTCTGGCTACTGGTCAATGAAAAGGGCCTTGCTCTTTCCTTTGCTCTATCTGCAGAAGGGCAAGGCCCCTGCTGAAGTCTAAGAGGGGAGCAGGCTCATGGAAGGAGGCTTGCGAGGTAGGGCAGGATGAAAATAGAATTAGATAAATAAACTGGCTCAACACCAACATGGCAGATAGCAATTTTCAACTGTTGCAATTGTGGGAGTTTTTGTAGACCACATCCATTCACAACTTCACTGTGATTTTTTCAATCTTTTTTTCTCAGCAGTGTTTGAATCCAGCTTATGAAGATGCCTGGAGCAGTAGCAGTGATGGTGAAGGATGAATTCCTTCTGTTGACATAAACCTGATATCCATGTGCTATGTTTTGGCTATCGTCTTTGCATTACAAAATGAGTACCTACTACCAGCATAATGTAAAGACTGTACATTCCCCTGTACAAATAACTTTTTCTTTTCGCTCTCATGCTTTGTGGTCCTCTGTGTTCCTTACTATTATGTCACTCTGGAACTGTTGCCAAAGAAGCACCTTCAGTACAAATGGGTTTGGGGAGTCTCCTTTTTTGTTCTGATCCATAAAAAGTAGATCAACTCATATTTTTGCAGTGTGGGAAAACTTTCATTTCCACTGCCACATGTTCAGTTGGTTGTTGTACTTATGTAAGATTTTTTTTCTTTCAAAAATCCAGCATGGTTGAGTTCAGAGGCTCATGAATCTTAGGGCTTCAGAGCACACTCTGCTCATTCCCCCCCCTTTCTTTCACATTATTGTGTCGTGGAATTTTTTGCTCCAGTTTCTAGTAACAGGTACATAATAAAACAAAGTTTGAGTCCAGTGGCACCTTTAAGACCAACAAAGTTTTATTCAAGGTATAAGCTTTTGTGTGCACTGAAAAGGTGTGCATGCACACGAAAGCTTATACCCAGAATAAAACTTTGTTGGTCTTAAAGGTGCCACTGGACTCAAACTTTGTTCTGCTGCTTCAGACCAACGCAGCTACCCACCTGACTCTAGGTACATAACAAATCACCAAATATTGTAAGGATTATAGTTGTTTACCATCACTATGGTTCCTTCAAACTGTGTTAATGGTTATCCTTGGAAGCGTTAGAAATAAACAGCAATATTAATAGGAGGTCCTACCTTTCTTTACTATCATTTGCCCAACATCTAAAGCACCTGAGGGTGGCCAAAGACAAAGCAGACTACTTTGGTGCCTCCTGGGATCTTAGGAAACCAAGCTGCTGCCTGCGGATCTCCTGAGGATCAGAGGTAAAGGTCCTGCCCCCTTCCGCTCCCGGGGCCTTGTTTGATCTCCTGAAGGACTGCCGTGTACTGTGGGTTTACAGCTGAGAGCCAGCATGGTGTAGTGTTGGACTAGGATCTGAGAAAGCCGGGTTTGAGTCCCCACTGTGTCACGGAAGCTTGATGGGTGACCTTTGGATCAGTCACACACTCTCAGCCTAACCTACTTCTCAGTGTTGTTGTGAGGATAAAACACTTTGGGTCCCCATTGGGGAGAAAGGCAGGATATAAATAAATCTAGAATATCATAGTCGCAAAGTACAACGAGGGTTTTAACCAGAAAACAGATACAAACCCTTCACAGTTCTTCTGCAGCAGTTGCTCTTTTTAAAAAAATCTCTATTGTAATTCTTTTTCTTTTCTCCTTCTAGTCTCGCTGTTGTCCAGTATGTACCGGCTGCTGGTACAAGTCCTTCCAATCTGTGACATTTTTGTGTACCACCTCCTCCTGCGGGCCAGGGCCTGAAATAATGTCATTACAAGGAGCTCTGAATGTATGCCTCATCTGAACAAAAGATGTACTGTAAACCAGTGTTCCCTCTAAGCTGAGTTAGTGTGAGCTAGCTCACAGTTTTTTAGCCTCCAGCTCACATATTTTTGTCTTAGCTCAGGAAGGATGGCTCCACAGCAAACTAATATATGCAGTAGCCAAATCGCTCGCTCACAACCTTAATGCCAGTAGCTCACAAAGAAGAATTTTTGCTCACAAGACTCCACAGCTTAGAGGGAACATTGCTGTAAATCACCATAGGGGTCAAACAGATTTTTTTTTTTTAATATGGGGTTACGTTGAGCAGGGAAAAATTACCCCTTTAGTAAACTATTTTGCTTTGGTAGTACTGGAATAAAATAGCAGCAGAAAATATAAATCTGCACTTAAATTTGGCTGTTCAGTTTACTGTGGGTGCTTAACAGTTCGGAGGAGTTCTCTTCCCACCTGTGTGTCAGTCACGGCCCTGGGAAGAGCATTCCTCCACTGCCCATTCCTCCCACTGCCTCAGCAGTGCACAAGAAATTCAGTGTGATTGGTGATAGATCAAGATGGGTAGCCGTGTTAGTCTGTCTGTAGCAGAAAAGAGCAAGAGTCCAGTAGCACCTCAAAGACGAACAAAGCATGTCACTCACGTCACTCACGAAAGCTCATCCCCTGCCACTTATTTTGTTAATCTTTGAGGTGCCACTGGACTCTAGCTCTTTTCTAATGTGATCGGTGCGTTGAACTAGCTTTGTGCTACGTGATGTGTTTATAGTGGCACAAAATACCGAACCTGCACGTTCCAGAGGGTAGCCATGTTGGACTGCAGTAGGCGAGCCAGATTCTGACGAAAGGAGCTTTGACTCTCAAAAGCATAAACCTCAAAAACTTGTTGCTCCTCAACATGCATCCTGACTCGAACGAAACAAAAAAGGTGTGTTATAACGGTGCATTTTCAGCCAATAGGCACATTGCTTTAGAAAGACCACTTATATTGTTCTCGTCTCCTCGTACTCCACGAGATAGAGGGTTTAGGCTGAGAGCATGTGACTGGCTCAGGCAAGGGGGATTTGAATCTAGGTCTCCCAGATCCTAGTCCAGTGTTTTAACCATCACAACATACTGGCTCTGCGAAATAGGTATGTGTAGTTTTCACAAAGTTGCACATTAATAACATCTGAAGCAATTCTTTGTTTCTGAAACCAAAGTGGCTTGCCTGAATTAAAATACTTTTTGTATCAGCCTGGAGGTATTCTATTTTGTCTGATTCAGTATTCATTATGTGGGGGCTCTTAAGAGAGTATACTGTCAAAATGTTGAAGGATGTGAACAACTGAAATTGACTTAGATCAAGATATTATTTCCCTTCCAGATCCTGGCATCTTAAAACACTGCTTTAGGAGATTCATGATTGTCAGTTACTTTCCATATAAATAATGCTGTCACAGTCTCCCCAAATCAAACCTGACATCTGAAATCCAGTAAAGGTATTTTATAGGGTTGGGCAATATGCAGAGAGTCCCTACTCGTAGTGAACCACATTTTACACTGTTCATATATAAACACTTTCTGCACCCACATCAAACTGCTTTTAGGTGTGGTCTGCTAATAATTAAAAAATAAGCAGGGGGGCGTGGCGGCGCTGGAGGAAAATGGCCGCTTAAAGTGATCGCTCCGTGGGCTCTCTCCCCCTTTGCAACCATTGCGGCGAAAATTATATAATCTCTTGCATAAAATATATGAGAAATGACGAACTGCCCCCTCAACAAGAATCTATGAAAATCTGTCAAGTACAGGTAAAAATAAATGCGAAATCGGGCTCCTTTGTGCTGGGGCCGAGACGCCTAATTACGGCCAAAATGCCACCCACCATCACAGGAACGGAAAGCTCTAATATCCCAGTAACCTCAGCTGACTTATTAGCGGCTTTATCTAAAATGCAGGAAATAATGTTAGAAAATATCTCAAACATGCTGAAGCTTCTATATGCACAGATGGACTCAATGCAAAAAGATATCTCTGACACCAGAGTCATAGCTGACAACTCTATGTCTAACAGCATGATAAATCATGATGCAATCAAAGAGATTCATCATGGGGAAGACGTACTAGCCGAGAGAACTTTAAAGCTAGATCTCTCCCTGCGACAGCATAACTTGAAATTACGGGGACTGGACGAGAACGCAGAGGGTACTGAGAGCCTCCCTCAATTCCTGTCCAAATGGCTGTCACAAGGTCTGCAACTTGATGGTGGAACCATGCCAGTGGTGACAAAAGCCTTCAGACTTGGGTCTTTAAATAAGCTAAGAAATAAACCTTCAAGAGACATTCTGATGACAGTGCTAGATCTTAAAGCAACTGATCTTACAGAAGGCACGCCAACGCGAATATATTCCCTTTAAGGATGAAAGAATCGAAGTTTATCCTGATCTCCCTCAAGAAGTGCTAGAAAAAAGGCGGGAACTAAAACCTGTGACTTCACGCCTCATAGAAGCTAATCGCTGCTACAAATGGGTCTCCCCGTTTACTCTGCAACTCACCCATATAGGGAAGACTCTTAGAATTAATTCTTTGAAGGAAAGAATGGCAATGCTTCGTACATTAAATCTCGAGACACCAATGGACGTCTCTCTGAAATCCCAGAAACGTAGACTGGAATCTCTATCTCCACCGCCATTGGAATCTAAGCAGCTAGCTCGTTCACCAACCTGACTGTCGCTGTTTAATGCCGTACTTCTTTCTTGATCCCGAATTGTTGTTTTCTTATATGCTGAGGATATTTGCCGTTCTTTAATTCACAGTTAATGTCAACTTACATTGATAGACGTAAAAATATTTGTCTGTTTATTGTTGTTTATAGTTATGAGAATTTTTTGTGCAGTTTGTAAAGCACCAAAACAAAATGAAACAGAAGGGGGGGGGAGACTACTTTTTTAAAGCCGAATAAACCTACTTATTTGTTATAGAGTAGCTGGCTAAAATTTGTTCATGTTATAGAATTTGGAATGCAAGTTGCTATACTATGTCCAAAAAAAATTAGATCGCCTGTTTAGTATGCTCTTTTTTCAATTAAGGGGGGGGAGCCTGGGAGGAGTTGATTGCTTTTAGCCTCACCTGATTGTTAGAGTTCTCTTCTTAACTTGCTGGTTTTGTATAACCTGGCCTCCTGCAGTTCTTTGGAGAGCTGCAGGTGTATAGAGAACTAATTATATTTAATTCACAGTTTAATTGTACTATAATACAACAGATCACTTTTAAACTTGTTATTAAATAAATACATACTTAAATAAGCTTCCTAATACATTAGTTAATTAATGTTTGATTCAAAGGTTTTTAATAAAGTTTTTATTGCAGTTTTTATTACAGTGCTTTTAATCTGATCAATTTACCTTATTTAGGTGGTGTACCTTATTTAGACCCTGTTTAGGTGGTGAGCTGATTTTGGCTCGCCCGCAGAGCCAAATGGAACCTATGCGGCTCCAGACGGCTCTGCGGGATCCAAGGCCCCCGGCGGCTCGTTAGATGAGCTGGTGGAGGATTGGAATGGCCGACTCTCCTCAGCCGTTGACGAGATCGCTCCCAGGCGCCCTCTCCGCACTCGCAATAGGCGAGCGCCCTGGTATATCCAGGAGTTGCATTCGCTGAAACGAGAACTGAGACGGCTAGAGAGACGGTGGCGTCGCGCTTGTGACGAAGTGTCAAGAACATCCTATAGGACGTTTATGAGATCCTATGGGGTGGCAGTCAAGGCCGCTAAGAGAGACTTCTATGCG